TATATATATATATATATATAGAGAGAGAGAGAAAAATTATTTAAGTACTCTCTAAATTTTTTTGAGAAAAAAAGAAAAGAGATAAATCTTAGAAGAAGTTCAGCTAAAAGAAATGAATTTAGGGTCTCTTTCACCTCGGTTAGGTTAACCGATGATTACACAAGACTCATTTAAGCCCGGTTTTTTATTATCTGATTAACTTGTAGTTAAGCTTAACTTGATGTTTCATCCAATGAGCTTCGTCCATGATAGATATCATCACAGATGAAATGATGAAGAAGAATGATACCATTCCAATAGAAAAACATTGGGTTAAACTTAACCACAAGTTAACCAGATAATAAAAAACTGGGCTTTAGACCCAGTTCACAATTCATGGTTAACTTTTAACCGAAATTTAACTTATTTTAAGTAATAATGAGTTGTGAAACTGAGCCTAAATGAGCCTCATGTAACCGTCGGTTAACTTAACCGAGATTAGTGAAACAGACCTTCAAAAAAAAAGTTGTAAAAGTAAACTAGCTTAACGATATCTTTAAATTTCTTTGGAGTGAAATTTCGCTTTAAAGAGTGAAACTTGAACCAATCTTGAAAAAAATTCAATTTTCAATCTTTAAGAGTGAGATCTCATTCTTCAGAGTGACAATTCATTCTAAAAGTTTTAGAGAGTACATATAGATATATTATTCCAACAAACTTTGATCGTAACTGGCGTTTCTCGTACTTGATTGATTTAGACATACGTCTTTATACATTGATTTGTACAACAGCTTTAATGTGCACTAAGTATTTCCGACCGAATTCGCAATCTATTAAATTCACGAGTGGATACGAAGGCACGACGAAATGCCAGATAACCGTGTGTAACAATGTGTAATCTCGCGCTAACCTGGAAACATGTCGATGAAGTGTAATATCCCAGCTTTGAGTTTGAAGTATTCGCTATTGATTGCCATGAACGATTCGGTGACAAAAATTCCATCGGCGATCAGCATTTGTATTTTTCTATCACTTTTCCTCAGATCCATCAGTCGCGCACTATCCTCGCGCTCTTTCCTCGATCTCCTATCTTCTCTTCGTTATGCCCTCGTCCCTTAGGTACACAAGTCAAATGGAAACTGGCGTGCACATCGAAATGAGATGAAGCCTGGTGCCGCAGCGGAGGAATGGGAGGGGGGAACGTGAGTTCAACCTAACCTAATCTGTCTCTCGCTGTCTCTCTTTCTCTCGTTCTGTCTCCTCCTCTTCTTCTTCCTTCTTCCGTTCCGCCACCTTCTCCACTTCTCTATCTTCCCCGTAAAAATATACAATACGGAAAAATTCGCAACTGATCACGAGTCCACGGTACACGTAGGTTTCTCCATTATCTGGGAATTCTTTTTTCCACGGTCTCCCTCAGATCCGATTCGCCTCCGGCACGTATATACGATGGGCCGGTTGCGTCCGTCTCTGATGTTTCTCGCGTAAATATCTCTCGCGCGCGCGCACACACACACACACACGTACGTAGAGTGCATAAACGCGACGCAGTGAAAACTCTTCGCTGGCGAGCAGGCAGAGAATCGAGCAGCCCAGCGGTCGGCCACGAAGCGAAGGCACGAGAGCGAGAAGGCGCGCCCGTAGACTCGGCTGCTTGGACGGAGACGATAGGCGAGACTGAGAGCCCCGAGTTTAGCGCTCGCGCGCCAAGCAACAAACGACTCCGTCTGCGGACTCTCCGTTCGCACTTTTCGCACCACACGGGGCCACTTCACGCACCTTGACGCACGCTGACGACGGCACGCACGCTCGCACGTCCCATCGCACGTTCTAAATGCCGTGCGCGGCGCTAAAGAAGTTGCAAACGGTGCCTCAGTGCTTTGACACTGTTACTTCCGAATGGCGCCCGCTTGCCTTGTAACCTGTTCTTTTTTCCCCTCTTTCTCTCTCTCTCTCTCTCTCACACACACACACACACACTCTGTCTTCCTCTCTCTGTCTGTCTTTCTCTCGCTTTCTCTATGTCGCACCAATATGTATGTGAGATCAATTACAGATTCACTTATGTTCTTTCGATAATGCGTACTCTCTTTCTTTCTTTCTTCTCACGTGCATTGCTCGATAAAATATTCCTCTTCTACGCGCTTCCTGGAACTCGGGCGTGTATGTGTACTTCGTTTAAAGTGCACGACGCGACGCATCCACATCGAGAATAAGAATCCGACACATACAAACACATACACACTTTCCCTTTCCTCTCTCTCTCTCTTCTTTTCCCGTTGTAGCAGCAATGCACTATCGTGGTAAGCGAACACGCTGTTGTAACGTTGTCGTTATCGACTCGGTCGTGATTAACGTTGCCGCACTTATTCCAGAAACGCTCGTTATCGACGACGTTACCAAATGTGTCATCGTGGGTATTAAATATATATGAAGCGAGGTTGACGAGTCGTCTTCTTGTGGGCCCTAAACGAGCCCTCGCGACAATCACACGGCAGTCCAATCGGCCACACTGTCAGACACAAATCCGCTAACCGAGTACGAAAGAACAGCCGAGCCACGACTGTCGAGTTCACTGTTGGAAACCCAGTGGGCGACGTTGTCGGGTCACACTCGCGGCACGCCTGCGATTGGCCGAGTAATCGTCCATTGACAGTTACTACTTCACGCTTAGGGGCGTATCTAGCGAGCGTGCAACCTATACACTGAAAGGAAAGAACAAATTAGATGGTAAAATATGGCATAGCATTTTTAATTGGCTGCAACAACCAATTTTTGGTTGCTGCAGCCAATTAAAAATGCTATGCCTTATTTAACCATCTAATTTGCTGCAGCAATCAATCTTTTCTTTCACGTAGCGCGACATGTCCATTTCTATCAATCAGCGTTTTTTACCATGGCGGATTTTTTTTTAAACCGATTCAGCTTGGATCATGACATCATTTATTCTACTATTGGTTATTTCTAATTTTTTTCTTAAAAATTAAAATTAGGAAAAGATAAAACATGATTCAGATTTAGCACGATTTTTTCTTATTTCTTTTTTTTCAGTTTCCTACAAATAATTGATAGATTGAACGAACTTATTTATGAAGTTCGATCTTAATTATGCCCTTTGTCTTGTCCGAATGGAAACTATTATAAGAAATTTAAGCGGCAACATGAGAAAAATATCAGGATGTTTCGAGATTCGAACCAAGGCCAGCAGATCTATTTTGTAACTCTTAACACAAATTTCGTTGTCATTATAGCGCCGTTGCGCAACTTTTTTACTATGGTGAAAGAACTGCGCAGCGGCGATATATTATAATGACATATATTATAATGACAACAAAATTTGCGTTAAGGGTTACAAAATAGGCCTGCTGGTCTCCTTCGAAATGGTAGACTTCCTGCCACTGAGCCATACAGCTCTGATGCTTCTCTGTTGTGCCTATTTCCTCTAAATTTCTTACAAGGCTAAATTTTTTACAAGTCGGTTAGCCTGACATTACATCCATCCCGGATGTATAATCCTGGGTATCGATTATATATCTTTTTTTTCTCTAGGGGGAAAATTTATTAATCTCTAAATGTGAAAATTTTTTGTATGTAGGTGTACATATACATAAAATTTTTCACTTTTCACGTTTTTGCTTTAGAGTTAACAAAAGTTACATGAGGCTTATTCTTTTTGGCTGAACTTTTGCACCAGTTTATCTTTCTTCCTTTTCTTTCCAAAAAGAAAGAAGAGAAAGAAAGATGAGTTGGTGCAAAAGTTCAGCCAAAAAGAACAGGCCTATGATTGATATCTTGACCGCAATATTGGACAAAGTCCCTATGAGCCATTTAAACAATATATACCGACTTGGAATGTCCCCATGGCATTTTTCTATCGTATCCGGGTGACTATCTTCTTCCAGAAGTCATCCGGGTATTCCTACGTCATCGGGCACTCAAAATCAAGGCCTGAGGTTCTATTCTTGAGCACATGAATAATTTTCGCATACGAAAATGACAGTTTCTTGATTGTGATTGGTCAATTGTATACAGTATTGTTATTTTCGTATGCGATATTTGTTCAAGAATAAGGTTCTTGGTCTCTTTCGAAATGATAGACTTCCGTCCTGCCATTGAGCTACACAGCCTTGACGCTGATGGTTTCTGTATTGTGCCTATTTCCTTTAAATTTCTTATACTATGTAGTCATGTTTTTGTGCACCGCGTTGACAACGTGCATGGCAATTACCCACATCCAATTGCGCACAAGCCAATCAGAGCGCTAAAAAAAAAAAAATTCAAAACTCCCTACGCAGAAGTCGCTATGATTGGCAGTGAGCAATTGAACCGCTCCTGTTGACAATAGATTTAAAAGCCGTTAAGAAAATGAAAGAAAAGAGGTATCCCTATATCTGAGATCTATATCTATTCCTCTTCTCTTCTTTTCTTTTTTATTTTTTCTTTAACTTTTTTCTAAGGAACAATGAAGGGAATACAAAAAGGGAATAGAGAACAGAAAATTTCAAGTTTCAATCTATCAGAAACTGTGTATTCCATATACATGATTTCTGATAAATTGAAATTCTTATTTTCTGTTCCCTGTTCCCTATTTCAGTATAATTGAAGTACATGTTGAATCGTGATAAGCTAAATAACACATTTAATTTAGTTATAAAGAATAGTTTAAGCTCAATTGAAATTGTTTTTATTATATTACATAGATTATAATAACAATTATACATGCAAAATTATTTTTTTTTTAAATGACAGCAGCGCTAATAAGTATATGCGCTCTCTATAAAAATTATTATAATATATAAATGGTTATATAATTATTATTATATATAAATGGTTGAGAAATAATATATTATT